TGGATAAGACCGCGATAAGCCGAACGAGCGCAACAAAAGGAACAGATCAGATATATCCTCCTGCTAATAACTGAAACTGAGTTGATTTATAAATACGAGAAAGCAGATTCCGGTATGGTGTGAAACGTGGCCTATTCTCGTCAATGCAGCAAGTCAAAAGGGTCCTGCGAACAGGGGCAAGCTCACGAAGTTGACCGTACTATAAGTCAAAACCAGGTATAGCCTTTTCCACGAGAATATGCCTGTGTCTTGCCTCTCTCAGGTCACTGTTTTTGAATAGCATGGAGACAGTAGCTACAACGAAGTTGCACGAACGACGTCTAATCTGCGCACATCAACTATGGCTTCTACGCATAATAACGAATAAAGCAAGACCTCCGGCGTTGTCGGTCGCAACTCCAGATATGAAAGGAGGAGAGTAAAAGACCTAACGAAGTCTCCGTAAATTTCAGCCACCTGTCCCTCATAGTATTGCCATAATCGAATAACGCATACCGCCTAAGTCGTCGCCCGAGTTACCAAGAGCGCAGACTGGGAAGAGTCGGCGATCAGAACTTGCTCATCGCCTTCTAGGGGGCGGGGGCGTAGCAGCAGGACATCAAAAAAGGCTTCATGGTAACGACACCGCCAGTGAAGGCTTACAGTCAGAAATTCGAACATACCTTCACTTAGAAGGAAAGAGCAGGATTCATTCAAAGAGGCCGCTCGGAACCAACCTGACGTCAACGAAGCGCCAAAGATATGGAATGCTGACCCTGTCCCAACCCTGGTGTCGACATAAGGAGATGCTCTCAGACCGGTGATGGTGCTCTGGTGGAAAGAAAATTGGCTGGGAGAATCAGAGAATGGAAGTCTATCAGGAAAGAGTGCAATTATCCGACTGACGCTTCAACAGACTAAAATCTTGACCTTGTTACAGCTCTGTGTCTAATCTGAGGGAGAATATGGGTCCTCCCTTTTCCTGTTGGCATCTTCTGAAACCGATGTACAGCATTTTCTAGAAAGGCTTGCAGCTAAGGCAAAGTGGCCCGCATGCGTGTGAACGCATGTAAAACGAAAAGCCTAGTGTTTTCTCGTTCACCTGCTCGATGTTCTCTTCAGATCAAGGAAGAAGCAGTGGAGCAGGTGGAAACGTTCAGCTACCTCGGGGTCGTGTTTCTGGTGATGGAAAATTTGATGAAGAGATCGGTCGTCGGCCTGGAGTAACCACTGGCGTTCTACATGAACTAGCCCGAACCATTGTGTTTAAAGCAGAGCTGCGTCTGAAGACTAAGGTGTAGGTATTCAAGCAGATCTTCATCCCCATGCTTACTTACGGTCATGAATCATGGACTACCACTGAAGTACTTCGATCCCTAGTAAAAGCTGCTGAAATGGGCTTTCTGAGACGATTCGGTTGTCTTACCCGTCTTGATATGATCCAGAGATAGGCTTTGCGTACAGTCACTGCTTCTTCAGGCTGAGATGTCACAGCTGCGATGGCTTGGGCATGCGTTGCGAATGCCTCCAGAAAGGAAGGCTAAGCAACTGTTCATTGCAAATCCGAC